GACAATCAGAGCCTAAATTCTTGTCTGAAATGAGCTCAGCAATTCTTTGTGCTAATTACAGGTAGTGCAGTTACCCAGGAGGGATGTGCAGTAAGGCCAGCTGATGAAGTGGAATTACAGTGAAGTTTTGCTGGTTCTAGTGGTTTGTGTTGACAATGACTAAAGCTCTCTCGGCCACTTTCTAGTGAGATTCCATATGTGTGGACTGGCAGCGGCCAAGTTCCAACCAAACATGGCTCCCTTCTACCTCTCATGTAGCTCCAAGTCAAATTTTTAATTTAAGGATTTAAAAGTTCTTCTGTTTTATTTGGGGTACCAAGAAGATCCATGCAGGTTAACCCCTTACCTGCCTTCTGGTGGGCATGAGTATTTTTTCCTCCCTACAGGTGGGAAAGGCACTAATTGAAGGCTGAATGATTCTTGGCCACGTACGAGGGAGAGAGAGAGAGAGAGAGAGAGAGAGAGAGAGAGAGAGAGAGGGCAGAGCTCTGCTCTGCATTCTGGAGGTGTGCTTTTTTATGTCATTATGATCAGTATTCCACCTCCACCCACGGCAGCTGCTCCAGTGCTGAAATGATAATAACCCAGGCCACCTAGCAGTTTAGTCTGATCTGGATCCTCTGTCTGTCTGTTCCCAGGGGAGTGGAGCTGTGTGCTTAGGGCTGATACAATATTCTGGTTTGGTTGTTTGGTTTTTTTTCCAGCCTTGCTATGAAACGGTGAAAATATGGCTCCAGGAAAACCTACTAGCAGTGGGAATCTTTGGATTGTGCACAGCTATGGTGCAGGTACAGTTTAATATAATTTGTCAAATCCTAATCAATCATAAGTAAGTAACCACAGATCCACATATACTCTGCCTCAGCCTGTTTTAGTAATTCCAAATTTTGCACAATGTTAGAGTAAAACTCTGCAAGATTTGTCTTTTATCTTTTGAGTTAAATGTACAAGGTACAGAACTAGGGGAATACTGCACAGATTTTCTGGCTGTGAAGAACAGGCACTTGACCAAGTGGTTATCTCGGGCTTAGCCTAGACCAAGGGGAGAGTTGGTCCCTGCTGTCCAAAGACAGAGCCTAGTCAGGGTGGGCTGCGTTGCCTTTTAGGGTACCTGTGTTTGTCCAGTAATTCTCCAGAGGACCATCTTCTCAGGCTAAATATTTAATTGTAAGCTAGCCTAAAGGTGGCTTAACTCTTCAGTCCCCATCCTCAGGCCTGGGGTGAGTTACAAGCTGGGATGTTGTTACCTTCAATAAAACCACGTGCCTTTTCTGTTAATTAATTGCAAGGAAGCGAGGTAGATAAGGTTTAGACTTGCCTGGCAGACTCTGCCCTGCAGGTATTCCCAGCAGAACTTTGGTGAGAGAATGATCAGTGTAGTTCTTTGTCTCTCACTCTTACCTACGAGTGTCTTTAACCCAGGGAGCCCAGGTTGTGGCCACAGCGTAGCCCCAGTGGCACAAACCTCAAGGTGAGGACAAACAGGTGAAGGCTGTGCTGGGGCTCAGGCTGCTTCAGCCCTGTGTCACCTCTCCATTCATGGCCCAGAGCCCCACTCCTGAACACAGTGAAGATGGAGCTTTAGTTTCCAGCTCCACCACTCTCACACTCACATATGAGCAGAAAGGATGGTGTCCCTAAATGAAGACCAGGTAACTCCAGATTAACCCATGGGGGTTTAATTTCACATGGTATGCCATGTGCAGGAGCAAGAGAGCCTGGGATCAAAATTCCACTCCTGTTCCCACTCATGCCAGTGAGGCAGCACAGCGGGGATCTCACCCTCTCATACATCACGCACTGGCTGTAACGTATCCGTGCCAGTGCTGGGCTCCTCCGTGGAGTTGGGGTTTGTTTTCCAATGTACTAAGCAGACGGGCTTAGAAAAACAGATGAGCACAAGGTCATATGGCAGAGAGATAAGGCAAGACTGTCACTAATACTATTTTAAAACACAGCTTTAGAGCATCTATTCAGCATTTAGGGAGTTTTTAAACATTATCACCCCAGCAGACCATGTCAGAGTCCTGCCCACAGACCCTGTTTACATTTAGGGTATTTCAGAGAACTCTTCTTCTGACAGAAAGGCATTGCTAGTTTGTACAGGAGAAAACACTTCAATTTAAAAACACTAACTAGTACGCCTAGTAAATGCTGTGAAACATGAAGAAAACACTTTGGAACACAACAGCTTTTTGGTCTGTCTTCCAGCTGCACTATGTCATGGAATCTAATTGATAATGAGAATTTCGATCCACTCTCACTTAAAATGAATTGAGCTCCCTCTGTTGTTGCTGTTGCAACGTCGTTCTGGCCCTAAGCACATGACAGCTTTTGTTTTCCACATTCACAATCTCACAGTTAGAGTCACACAGTGACACAACTTGAAGGACGCACAGCAGATGTGGTGGAAGAATCTTCTTCAGTCACACGTGCAATTCAGTTGCCAAGATTTTATTTTGCAGTTGACCCCCAAGGTGCTCCTTCGCTAGGAAGCAGAAGGCAGTGCGCAGGGGATGCAGCCCACGGGCATGTGCTTAACTATGAGAGTCTTATTTCTCTCTGGAAGAATGGGAAATGAAGACGATAACAGCTTAATAACCATTTTTTTTTCTTTATTTATGAAGTAGGATGTGTGTTATTCATGTACTCTTGCAAATTACTCATTAACAGGAACTGCTGTTTACGTAAAGAGTAAATTTGAAGTGGTCAAATTAAGTGCTTAGAATAGAACTCATACAAAAAAATTTCTACCTAGCAAATCTTCCTTTCAATGACAATTTTTAGAGTGGTGCTACAAAGGAATAGCAACAACCACTTAGTACATTCATGTAAGTACTTCAGCCGGAGGGAAAATAAGAATCTCTTCCCCTTCTCTGATGAAATAATCCACCAGAGGTGGTACAGCAGGTCAGCAGTTGGGCTGGGAGAAGAACCATCACCTCCTTGCTGCTTCTCTGGAGCAGGCTGAGCAGAGAGACACGCTGCTGAAGAGGCAATGATGGTTCTGATTAATGCATGGCCAGGCTCCAGCGACTCCCCAGCGGGATCAGCGCACACAGAAGCTTGGAAAAGGGAAGTAGAGTAAAGCGAACCACAGCTCCTTGGGGTTAGGGAGGAACTGACGGGCTTTCAAAGCAAGAGCTACAGAGAGAACCCCACAGCTGTGGGCTGCTACTAGCAAATAGTTTAGAGCAAGACATGCAAACATTTCTTCTCAAAACGCCTCTGCCCAGGATCTGGTGGCTGCTTTTTGTGGAGAAATCAGCTCTCCCGAGCGCTCACTGTTGATTCCGTAAAATAGCGCTACAGATGAGGACAAAAGGCAGACACAGCCTAGGAACAGAACAAGGACACGAGCCAGCAGGAGAAGCAGTGTGTGGTGTGTCTTCTGTGTGAATAAAACCAGTGTGAGCATGCTCTTTCTTTTTTTTTTTGTTGTTGTTTCAATAAATAAAAACCGATTGTTTCTTTTTTGTTCCCTCTTAGATTCTCGGACTCACCTTTGCAATGACCATGTATTGTCAGGTAGTCAAGGCAGACACCTACTGTGCATAGATACCATTCCCAGTCCTTCTGCTCCTCCTCCAAAGGACACAGGAGAAATCTCCTTCATGCTCATTCATCTGACCTTTTTTGCCCCCCCCCTTTGTACTATAAACTGTGTATAACGCTGTCTTTCTGAAGATTTTGTGAACCACCCCACTTTACTGAAGGAGGAAGAAAAGAAAAAAAATAATTAGTTGTTGAACTGGCACAGGTAAGAAGCAGCCTTGTCTTTAAAGGGCAGAAAACCTCCCAGGAGCAGTGGTTCCTTTTCCACGGCCCGTGGCAAGGCAGAGGGGCTGAGCTGCAAACCCACGGTAGGAGAAGATCGCGCTGAGGGAACCTCTGCAGAACCTGCCAGGTTGCCTTCCCGCATTTCACAGGCTGGAAGAGGAAATGGGAGGAGAAAATGAGCGTGGCAAGAAGGCACAGAGAGGCTGGCACTGGCGTGTGACTACAGTTTGCACACAGGTAAATTGTCACCACCAAGCAGCCCTGCCTCCAACTGTCTCAAGATGGTTTTGTAGCCAGGAGAGGATCATCATCAGAAATGTGTTATTTTAAAGGAGTATTTTTAATCTGATGCGCTGCAAAGTCAGGCTTTTAATCACAATCTGTACAGTGAGATCTGGCTGTTGAGGGAAAACGATATTGGACATTGTCTCACTTATTAATCGCCAGTGGCATGTAGGTGGGTGACTGGACATGTAATATATATATATATATATATTACATTCATATACACACACTGTTCTGAAGGGAGGTGAAAATACCCAGCATCTAACCCCAGGAAGAAGGAACCTTTCTGTCCCATTTTACATTCCAACTGAAATAACAGAGTATTATTTCTTGTAGGAGGCACTATCACTTAAACCTCTGGGAAACAAGTCATTACTTTCAGCTGTATCTTTATTTCAGTAAACAACTTGTGAGTGGGCTCTCTCTGTCATTCTGCTCTGGTTCTATTTTTTATCATCCCTGGCTGAAGTTAGTCTGCCAAAAAAATATCATTCATTTCCACACTTGAAGATCCCTACAAAGCTGTCAGCTCTTCCTTCCCTGAATGTCACCACTTCATTAATTTACTTTGGGATCTCATCATCTGCAGGTATGACAGAGTTTGCCTTGCTGAGGAAAAAAAAAAAGAAAATCTTTTTGCACATTGCTGGTTTTTCTGAGAGTTATTAAGACTTCAGATGTTTTTATGCTTAGGTTTTGGGGTTTTTTTTCCTCCTTTCCTTTTCAGTTGCATGCTCCAACAGCCAAGACACATCAGTCTTTGTTAGAACTGCAGTCACCTCTCAGTTCTGTTTTTCAGACCCATCTCCCTCTGTCTGGCTTTTGACTTGAATATGCCCCACCCTTGCTGGAATTTTCAGAAATCAAAATCAGAACTTTCCTCAGCCAGAAAACAGCTGCTGCCAGTTGTCTCATTTCCCCACCCTGCCTGCAGTGCCCTCCTGTGCACACCTGTAGTGATGACATCATGAAGCTGATGTTTCCCAGTGTTCAAACAAACAATTCCCCAGCAGTGAGCAGCCCCAGAGGATGCAGAGGGACAGCCAGGGCACCCCCATTTCCCAGGAAGCG